GCTGCCGCTGTTTGACATTGCTGCAGTTAACTGAAGTTGGCATTTGCTAAAAAATTTCTCTGAACTTGTTGGGAGGATTGATGTACTTGTTAACTGAATTTTTTCTCTAAACTTGTTGGGAGGACTGATGTACTTGTTAACTGAATCTGACATTTTAACATGATGTACTGATTTGTTATGAACTCTTTTACATTGCAGGAGATTTTGATGGTCTGTTCAGTGTTGAGATCCACCATAGTGGTTTCTTTTGTGGCAGTGACATAAACAGAACATACATGGACTATGAGGTTGATTGGTTTGACAATTGTGGTTTCTTTTGTGGCAGTGACATAAACAGAACATACATGGACTATGAGGTTGATTGGTTTGACAATTGTCAGACTGACACTTGGTCCTTACTCTGGATTGATGACTTCCTTCTGCAGCTGGGCTATGATAGACAAGCTTCAAAGATTGATGTTTACTGGTGTGAACCAAGAAAGACAGTTAGTGATGGCCTGAAGCTCTTGACCTGTGATGCCGACATTGTTCTTATGATTTGTGCAACATTAGAGCACAAGAACCTGCTGCTGATAGTAGACCATGGTGATACCCTGCAGTCATTAAACAAAGATGATGTTCTGACAAATGGAGTGAAGGATCCACCTAAGGTTATTACTCCAAAGAGGCATGGAAAAGAAAATGTCAGTTATCCAGAGAAAGAGCAGAGTCCTGGAGAGAAAATGTCAAGGACAACAAGGAGATCTATGTCATTTGGAGAAGGATGTAGCTCAAGGAATGCTATGGAGGAGGAGAATATTGAGGATGTTAACAATAGTGAAGAAGAGGGAAATGATGAGGATGCAGGGTCAGAAACAGATGAGGAGTTCTATGAGAGTGACTATGAAGTTGCAGAAGGTGATGATGATTTGTTTGACGCAAATGTAGACAAAGATGTTGATGATCACAGAGAGAAGAACATATTGCCAGACTTTGAAGAAGAACTTCCAGAAGATGCTTTGGAGGACAGCCACTTAAATATGTCGAAAGAAGAGAAAGAGAAGCTGAAGCACAAATTCAGTACTTTCAACCCAACAACTGATCTGAATGCACCTGTGTTTAAGATTGGGTTGGTGTTTGCAGATATGAAGGAATTGAGGCATGCTCTCACTGCATATAGTGTAAGGAATAGGGTGAAAGTGAACAAGCTCCTAAATACTTCAGTATCACTAGAGGTTGTATGCAAGCCTGGTTGCACTTGGTACTTGAAGGCAGGTAAAGATAACAGGTCAAGTAGCATACAGATCAAGAAGTATGTTGACAATCACACTTGCACAAAAGCATGGGACCTGAGAGTTCTGACTGCTCCTTTTCTTACTAACAAGTTCAGAGAAGAATTCAGAGACAATGAAAAAATGCCTCTGAAGAAATTTTCAGATAAGGTGGAGACAGAATATAATTTGGTTCCACACAGGAGTAAGTTGGGAAGAGCTAGGAGAGCAGCAGTGAATCAAATAAGGGGAGTAGATGATGACCAATATAATACTTTGTGGGACTATGGTCAGGAGCTTAGAAGGAGCAATCCAGGAAGCCAGTTCTTCTTGTGCACTAAGGAAGTATTTGATGAGAAGACAAAGAAGGTACAAGACCACTTTTCCACATTGTACTGGTCATATGATGCATGCAAGAGGGGATTCCTTAAGGGATGTAGACCAATCATTTTCCTGGATGGTTGTCACATTAAAACGAGATACAAGGGAACATTACTAACAGCCGTTGGAATCGATCCCAATGATTGTATCTTTCCAGTAGCATTTGGGTTATGTGAAGTGGAGTCAACCCATAGCTGGGAGTGGTTCTTAGCATCCTTAAAGGATGACCTGAACATAATGAACACCTCACCATACACCATTATGAGTGACAAGCAGAAGGTTAGTACTATATCATTCAATTTCTTCAATGCAACAACATAAGTGTGTGCTGCTTTGCAGAGATTAATGTGTTCTGTTTTATAGGGATTAATAAATGCAGTGAAAAAGGTTTTCCCTCATTCAGAACATAGAAACTCTGTTAGGCACATTTATCAAAATTTCCATAAAGTACACAAGGGAGAGCAGCTCAAGAATGATCTATGGTCTATAGCAAGGTCCACTAATGAAGCTGCATACACCAGGAACGTGGATCTAATGAAAGAACACAGCTTGGGTGCCTACACCTGCGTTGAGAAATTGGAGCCAAGAACATGGATCAAAGCATTCTTTGACCCGTTTTGCAAGTGTGACATATTACTAAACAATATGTCAGAAGTGTTCAATAGGTTACTCTCTTGTTACTTTTTCCTCTCTTGTTATTTTCTTGTCAACAAAAAATCAAATGCCAACTGTGTGCTTACATATTTGGTACTATTTTGCAGTTACATTTTGGATGCGAGGGAAATGCCAATTAAGTCAATGTTGGACCAGATAATGTGGAAGCTAACAAACAGGATTGTTGGTAAGCAGAGAAAGGCAGAGAAATGGACAGGCAGATTATGTCCCAAGATACAGAAGAAATTGGACAAGTATGTGGAGTGGGCAAAGAACTGCAGGGTGCAAGAGTATGGGCAAGGTGTTTTCAAGGTTTTCTCTTTGAACAACACATACATTGTTGACCTGAACATGCTTTCTTGTGAATGCAAAAGGTGGGTACTATCTGGCATACCTTGCCATCATGCAATTGCATGTTTTAGGCATGAGAGAATTGAGCCAGAGAGCATGGTCCATTCATGCTACACTGTTGAGGAATATAAGAAGTGTTATGGATTTAATATGATGCCAATGAGGGACCCACAGCAATGGGAAAAAATGCATGGCATTGCTCTTCACCCACCCCTGTACACAAAAGTAATGGGCAGGCCTAAGAAGAACAGGAAAAAAGATCCAGAAGAGAAGAAAGACAAGACTGGGGTGAAAAAATTGAGCAAACATGGTGTGACCATGCATTGTTCTGTTTGTGGAGCTGCTGACCATAACAAGAAGGGCCACCACAATCATGTTAATCAAACAACAACTGAGGAAACAACAATTGAAGAAGAATATGACGACCCAAGCATAATTGTTGTACCATCCTTTGCTTATATATTTTCCCCTCTAATCTTCAAACTATACTTAAACATTGATACATTGGCTTCACCTGTTGCAGAACATCATGCCACACAGAGTCTACCCTCAGCTCGATCCAACACAAACCCCTGACTCAATGGTTTACAAGATGCAAGAAATGGTAATATATTCAGTGACAAAATTATGCAGATGTAATTACCATTTAAGTGCTTACATACCCACCTTTTTATATTGTACTTGTGTGAGCAGGAGAAGTTTACATATCCAGCACCTAAGGAATTTGCCCCCCTACCTGAGTCTAGCTTCATTGCCAATGCCAGAACTCAATTCCTATGGTTAGAGTTACAACAGCCATGTCAAGAGGCAGGGTGAGAAAGACTGCTAATGAGAAAGTTGCAAGGCCAAGAAAAAAGCAGGCAAGGGAAGGCAATATTGCAATGGGAAGCAATGTTGCAACAACTGGAAGCAATGCTCCAACAAGTGGGGCCAATGCAAGAGGAGGTGGCAATGCAAGAGGAGGTGGCAATGCAAGAGGAGGGGCCAATGCAAGAGGAGGTGGCAATCCAAGAGGAGCAAGAGCTGCTGCTTCAGGTTTCTTCAACTTGCTATTTGGACCCGATGGATCCACAATACATGAACCGCCACTTGTCATGCAGGGTGAGGAGGAGGTCATTTTTAGCCAAAATGCACCAGGAGCTAGCCAGGATCCTTATCTCTATGATGAAGGTTGGCCTGATGATCTGCATGACTTTTTGTCTTTGTAGTTTACATTACATGCATCTTTAGGTGAAAGTCTGATGGAGTTCATGAATGAACTTGTTGGTTTGGTGATGGAGTTCATGAATGAACTTGTGGTCTCTAGTTCAGTACTTATTTAGAAGACGATGTGATAACAGTTATGTCACTTTTGGTTTGGTTCATACGACTAAGAAACTACTTATGTTAGTGCCAAATATGTCATTTCAATTATGGTCTGTTTCTGTTCACTTAAGGTCAATTTGTCCGTGCTAGATCCTTGTTGCAAGTCTGCTATATTACAAATCTTGGCCAAAAGCTTAATAAAACAGCAGAAATGTTGTCCAACTTGGTCAAAAGAGTTGCTGCGACTTTTTGCCAAAATGGATTTATAAAACAGCAGATATCCTGTCCAATTTGGTCAAAATAGTTGCTGAGATTTTTGTCAAAAATGATTTATAAAACAGCAGAAATTTGGTCAAAATAATCAATTGACTGAACAGGCTAAGGGGTTTTCTGCAAAGAAGACGCGCGCGCGCCGCGCCGGACGGAATCAGAGGCTGCCAGCGGGCCAGGTATGCCATGCCAGCACGTCGTATGAAGGCAGACGGGATTTGTGACCGTATGTGCACGTAAACGCAAGTTATGCGACCACAACAATGTATTTTGCAAGTTCTAGCATTAAAATGCACATCCGACGCAAGTTTTGTGACTGCTAGTGATATTACCTCGTTTATTTAAAACGTTTTATCTCTCAAACCGTTTGTCCAAATCTCAAATCGCTTCCACCGTTGGATTTCTCACATCGAGATCTTCAAAACCTAGATCCCATGTTGATAGGTTTTGACGTGTTTTTTTCACGAAAAAAGCCGGCCAAGAAACCGGACGAAAAAACCGAACCGGGAGCATGGGTTTTTTCCCTTTTCTGTAAGAGGCACGCCGTGTCTCTCACGAAATTATAACCGTGCCTGTTGCGGAAACAAAACCGTAACTCTTACCAAAAAAAAAGAGAAAACGTGATTTTTTTTTGTTTCCGAGGAGTCACGCTGATTCCATTTTATTGTGCTCCTCGTGCCACACGCTTCGCCGCGGGAGCGCGTCCTGGGGCGATTTGGCTGGAGGATAAAACACCACGGAGCGGTTCCCGGTTCAGTGGTGCTGCGAGAAACTCGTCCTCCTGTTGGAATGCCACACCTGCAAGCGCTCCAGCAGAGCAAGCTAGTCCACATGGCCAGGCTGCTCCTCCTCCTCCTCCTCCTCGTGGTCGTCGACCTGGCCTTCGGCTCGCCGGCGGCAGCGTACGAGCGGCGGCGGAACGCCATCACGCACGTCAAAGGGTTCGATGGCCCTCTGCCTTTCTACCTGGAGACGGGGTACGTGGAGGTGGACGACACGCACGGCACGGAGCTCTTTTACTACTTCATCCAGTCGGAGCGCAGCCCGAGGGAGGACCCCCTCATCCTGTGGATCACCGGCGGCCCCGGCTGCTCCGCGCTCTCCGGCCTCTTCTTCGAGATCGGCCCTCTCAAATTCGACGTGGCCGGCTACACCGAAGGGTTCCCAACCCTCGTCTACTTCGAGGACTCGTGGACCAAGGTGAGCAACGTCATTTTCCTCGACGCGCCCGTCGGCACGGGCTTCTCCTACGCGCGGGAGGAGCAGGGCCTCAACGTCAGCCTCACCGGCACCGGCGCGCAGCTCTGGGTATTCCTCGAGAAGTGGATCGCCGACCACCCCGAGTTCGCCTCCAACCCGCTCTACATCGGCGGCGACTCCTACTCCGGCTACCTCGTGCCGGTCACCGCGCTCGAGATCGCCAACCATAATGATGCCGGCGACGCAAGCGGAGGACCCAAGCTGAACCTGCAGGGCTACCTGGTGGGCAACCCTGGCACGGACGACAGGTACGACACCCCGGGCAAGGTGCCTTTCATGCACGGCATGGGGCTCATCTCCGACGAGCTCTACGAGGCGGCGCAGGTCAGCTGCAGCCGGGACGACTTCGTCACGCCGAGCAACGCGCGGTGCGCCAACGCTCTCGACGCCATCAACCTGGTCACCACCGACATCAACCCCGTGCACATCCTGGAGCCCTTTTGCGGCCTCGCGCTGCGAGACCCCGGCGGCGCCACCGTCTTCACGAAGACGGCAAGGCTGCTGCTCCAGGACAACCTGCAGCACAGGCTGGCCCTCCCCGTGGAGTGCCGGGACAACGGGTACCGGCTGTCGTACATCTGGTCGGACGACGCGGAGGTGAGGGAGACGCTGGGCATCCGCGACGGCTCCATCGGCGCGTGGAGCCGGTGCACCACGCTGTCGCATTTCCGGCACGACGTGCGAAGCACAGTACCGTACCACGTCAACTTGACGCGCCGGGGCTACCGAGCGCTGGTGTACAACGGTGACCACGACCTGGACTTCACCTTCGTGGGCACGCAGGCATGGATCAGGACGATGGGCTACCCCGTGGTGGCGCCCTGGAGGCCGTGGTACTCCAAGCAGCAGGTCGCGGGGTTCACGACGGAGTACGCCCACAACCTCACCTACGCCACCGTCAAGGGCGCCGGGCACACCGCGCCGGAGTACCGCCCCAAGGAGTGCCTTGACATGCTTGACAGATGGACCTCGCCAGCCGGCAAGCTCTGACTCCGCCCCATTGCGAACACGCATTTCGTGGATGAATATTTCATTTCACAAAACATCTTAGTACTAATGTGTAAGTCAAATGGCTCGCGTGTGTGTGTGCTATTTCAAAAAAACAAAATGGCTCGTGTGTCGACTTAGAAATAGTTGCTTCACATGTGTGCATAATAGAAATAGCAAAATCAAGTGATCAATGGTCAAATATGCTTGGAGTCCGATGTCTGACCAGTATATGGCATTATTGTAGTGGTTAGCCATCCACTTCATGTGTACACGTTTTGAAATCAAATCTAAGTACAGTACTTTGGAAAATAAAGTTGGACCAATAGAAGGCATTACCGTAGCGACAGGGGGTAGAGGTTTGTTACCAACACGCATGTTTTGGTTTTTATTTGATTTGATTTTACTGAGACTGTCACACTCCTAGAGCATCTCCAGCCGCGCCTTCAACATGCCCTCTCAGACGACTTTTTCGGCGCCGGCGCCGAATAAACGTCTCAGTCGCGTCCGCAGAACACCGAAATTCACCGGTTCAGCCCGTTTTTGGGTCCGGCGACCGCAGGCCGAACCCGGCGCACTGGAGGGCGCTCGGGGGCTCCGGCACAAGGGAAAAGCACGGCTGGCCCACACCGTCAGGCGAAAAGTCAAGTATTTCTTCCCGACTCGCCTTCCACCCCCACCCCTCCCCCGCGCGCGCGCGTGCGCGCTCGGCCGCCAACAGCTGTATCCCGGCGCCGCCCACCGCCCGCCACCGCCAGATAGCCCATTTCCGCCGAAAAAAGAACAGAGGTTTCGCCGCGGCAACCCCTCCGCCAGCAGCTGGGCGTTTTTTCCGCCGTTTCTGGTACGCGCCCACCGCGCCCGTAAGGTGTTCGGTGATTTGCCTGCCTAGGCAATGGACTCGGAGGACGAGGAAGCGCTCGCCGCGCTGCTAGAGAAGGAAGCCGAGGCCGACGTCCAGGAAGAGGAACACCTCATGGTGCTCGCCGCCCTGCTAGCGAGCAATGAAAAGCCGCGGCGAGGTGGCTCGGCGCCGGGGCGGATGAAAGCAAAGAACCAGCACCGTCTCGAAGGCTACTGCATGCTCTACTCCGACTACTTCACCGACAGAACATTTCGGCGCTGTTATCGGATGAGCCGAAAGCTCTTCCTCAGGATTGTGAATTCCATCCGGGAGTTCGACATGTACTTCAAGTGCAAGAAGGATTGCACCGGCAAACTTGGATTCACCTCGATCTAGAAGTGCACGACATCGATGAGGATGCTTGCATACGGAGCTCCCGGTGATTCACTCGACGACTATGGGCGCATGGCCGAGTCCACCACCATTAAGTGTTTCTACAAGTTCTGTCGGGCAGTGGTGGCAGTGTTTGGACCGCAATACTTGCGTACACCCAATGCGGAAGACACTGCTCGAACCCTAGCACAGAATGCAGCAAGAGGATTTCATGGGATGCTTGGAAGCATCGACTACATGCATTGGAAATGGAAGAACTGTTCATTTGCTTGGCAGGGGATGTACAAGGGCGCCAAAGGCAGTTGCAGTGTAGTACTTGAGGCGGTGGCCACACAGGACCTCTGGATTTGGCACTCCTTCTTTGGTATGCCAAGAACTCACAATGACATCAACGTGTTGCAGTGCTCCCCTGTCTTTGCCAAGCTTGTTGAAGGTCATTCTCCTCCGCTGAACTTCGAGGTCAATGGACGGCACTACAACAAGGGGTACTACATAGCTGATGGCATCTATCCGAGATGGTCTACATTTGTGAAGACTATCTCAAACATTGTGCCATAAGGCAAGAAGTCCCACTTTGCCAAGGTGCAGGAGGCTTGCCGGAAGGATGTCGAGCGAGCATTTGGTGTGCTCCAATCTCGATTTGCCGTTGTCCGATACCCTGCTCAGACATGGTCGAAAGATCAAATGTGGGAGATCATGACTTGATGTGTCATCTTGCACAACATGATCAACGAGAGCGAGCAGGAAGAGCCAGTGTTTGACACTGAACCATACTACAGGCAGGGTCCTCTAACCGAAGTTGATCACCAGCTACCGGTAACCTGGACTGCCTACCTCAGTATGCGTCAGGAGATCCGAGACCCACAGGTGCATCATCAATTGCAGCAGGATCTAGTGGAGCACCTATGGAGGCTCAAGGGCGACGCCTGGCGTGACGTATGATGAAATATGAGTTTTTTTGTTGAACTATATAATTTATATTGAACTATTTGTTCTTGCACTATTTTGTTGAACTATTTGATTTTCTGTGATGAACTATGTGATAAAAATATTTATGTTAAGAATTCAATGCCGAACCACGACGAACCACGCCGAATATGAGTTGATTCTTGCCCATATGAGGCCTTTATTCGCCGAAAGTGGGCCGAAAACTGGGCCAATATCGGCGCCTGGGGGCGACGGCTGGACGCCCAACCGCCCCCAGCGCCGATTGTACCGTCGGCTCGCCCCTAGGTGACGATTTTTATGCCTCCTGTGGGGGCCAACGGCTGGAGATGCTCTTATTGTGCTAGCCAAGATATGTCAAGAATGCGACACCTCTATACCTTGCAGGTTCCTCTCAAATCGTTAACTCATGCGAGCAGAAAAATAGGCAGAACAAAAAGAAGAGGTCGCTATCCTAAAACCGAACGAAGTGTCGCATGGATGTCACACAAGGACCCTCTCTCAAGCAGGCGTCCGAGAAAGATTTCTACAAAACCCTTGGAACTGTGTGCCCACCAAGACACCATTCTCGCCCCTGTCATGTCAAGACTTGGTTGTTATTCAAATTCAAACACACCGCATGGTTCAAATGAAGAAAATAACATGATAAAAGCAAGACTACAGAGTGTTATGGAGATGTTAGTGATGCTCAACAAGATCATGTTGGAGCTAGGTATAAACTTCTTGGTTCTCGATCCTACGACGCACTTCGAGGAATGCCTAGATCCTATTAGGACCATGCTCTCGCTCAACAAGGATTTCCATTGGTGATGTACCGAATGTTCCCAAACATGTGTCTCTCATATTCAATGATCATGTTATGCAAGATGATGCAACTAGTCATGATTTGCCATAGAACTTTGGAGTTCCAATACTCAGCAGGGCCACCAGCGATTGCAAAGCACTCCTAAAGCACACCAAAAGCTCTCTCCACGTCCTTTCTAGTTGACTCTTGACGTGTTGCAAGGTGATAACTTTTGCTACCTTTTAAACGCGGAAATGTTTTGACAAATGTGAATCATGGAGGATAGATGTCACCTGCAAGGTAGTAAACCATCATGTACTCATGACCATTGGTTGTATTGTTGCAAGGAGGAGCATCTCCGACAACAAGCCTAGCAAACAATGGTGATCTCAATAGCACATTCAGGTCATTGTGAGAGCCAGGAAATCCAAAGAATGAATGCCAGATACATAGATCCTCTGATGCAACGTCCTCAAGAATGATCGTTGGATCATTGAAGTGGCCTTTGTACTGACCTTTCCATCATGTTGGACAATTCTTCCATGTCCAGAGCATGCAGTCAACTGATCCTCTCGGTGTCTTCCTCGCTGGGTGCCCTCAAGTACTCCAGCCCAAAGACATCAAGCACTTCTTTTGTGCCCATATGCTAGAACTGGAACAGCCGCAATACACTTCATCAAAGGGCTCACACTTATCTCTCGCATGCATTCCTTCTAAGCTTGAACCGATCATCATACTTCTCCATGGCTTTTGGAATGGTGAGAAAGAGACTTGTGTGCATCCGAAAGAGGTGGCGAAAATACTTCTTTGAATAGGTTAGATTAGGGTCAAAATAATCTCTCATAATCTTGGCCTGACCCTCGGCTATTCACGATTGAGTTATATGTGGCAAAATTGCGATCATCTCCTCAGGCGCCAAATATCATCGTTGAAAATCATGCCAACGACAATTTGGAAGTCATTATCATCTTCTTCCTTCACGGGATGACGATGAGTCCTCGAAGATAATCTCTCTCATCTTCTTCATCTTCAATTGAAACAATGCGGTGCAATTCAATTGGACAAAACAAAATGAGACAAAAAATACTCACCTAGGCAAAACGTCGAACACTTGCAAGGCGGTGGTGCTCTACGGGCCGGCCAGTGTTGAGCCCAAACTAGCGAGCGGTAAGGCGTGGGGATGACCGACAAAGGTGCGCAACACAGTGAGATGCCGAGTAGACAACGAGGAAGAAGATCCGAGGCGATTTTTGATGAAAGGGTTGACGCGATGACATTTCATCTCATCTCAGGCGACTACGACGGTCGGCGAATAGCTCGGACTCTGGCAGAAAAGCAGTGAGGGCCAAGGGAGGCAATGAGGTAAAGGTGGGTACTTGCTAGCGCCGATGTAGTGGGGCTTGGGGTTGGAAAAGTCGGCACAAAGTTTACTTGGCTGCCTCGAGGTCGAGTGTTTTTTAGGCGCCTACGGGGCTGAGGAGTAATTTTTTTACTTCACTATTCGGTTCACGACTTTGGCTAGGTGTCGGTTTGAGGAGTAACTGGAAATTTTACTCCTATAACCGGATTTAGGGGATCGACTAGAGATGCTCTTAGGCTTTGGAACACGGTCATTGAGAAATTCTACATTGTTGACATGGACACTTCCTTATGGCATTTGGTGGACCCCGTCGAGGATTGATAGCAAGTACAAGCGCGGTGGGCACCCCCAACAAAAAAGCCGAACATCTACACTGTTATTGATCATCGAGCCATTTACATGCAACTAGTGAAGGAAATATGCCCTAGAGGCAATAATAAAGTTGTCATTTATATTTCCTTATATCATGATAAATGTTTATTATTCATGCTAGAATTGTATTAACCGGAAACTTAGTACATGTGAATACATGGACAAACAGAGTGTCACTAGTTTGCCTCTACTTGACTAGCTCGTTGAATCAATAATGGTTATGTTTCCTAACCATAGACATGAGTTGTCATTTGATTAACGGGATCACATCATTAGAGAATGATGTGATTGACTACACTCATCCG